CCGGTGCGCGACTCATGCGAGGAATAAAAACGCTCGCTTTCTCACTTGGCATCCGAAAAAAAAAAGCATCTTTTCGGGGCACGAGAAAAAAGTGACGAACGAAATACAGCCGTGGGGTATGATGAAACGGCGACGTGAATCGCTAATTAAGCCAAGGGCGGCAATTAGTAATTACGGTAGCCTCGATCAACGCCGGCGAGCGAGGCCAATGAGATGTGGCCCTGCTCAGGCGACATTATCATAAGTCGAGTTTTTCATTGACCACAGTAGCCCCGGAGTCGAAACCGGTCCAGATCGACCCACGAACAGTCACGGACTGCAGAAAGTATATACGGCGTCCGAACGCGCAGGCGGTAAAGGTATAAGGTCGTAGCCCCGTAGCGAGATAAAATTGATGATCACGTCCCGCATAAACGGAAGAGCGTCATTTTTTTCCCGCGAGGATTCAGATAAAGCTGCCGTCAGCATCGCGCGGGAAACGCATTAACCCCTCTCGCACTCCATCGATACGGTCGATACCGATCGCATTAAATCGCGTAGAATATTAATGTTATCGTATCAGTGTTGCGCCTAATTATACCTGCAAACTGCCTAGTTTGTAAGCGCGAGAAAGTCGGTAAAAAGACGAGTACCCGATTTCATCGGGTTCTTATACCGATGATTCCTTATAAATGGTATATGATAAAATTAATGACCAGCCTCATGTATGTTTTGCATCGTTGCAAGTTTTATACTTTCACGATATGCATCGAAGCGTATTTTATGTAGATATTAGATTGATTTCTAATAGCAAGGTATTTTACAAGTTTTTCATACAATCTATCGATTCAAGGCGTATCTGACACGATTCGACGCAGCAACTATAAATTAAATATAAAAAAACAACGTAGTAAAAACGATGGAAAAACAGAACTACTCATTTTAGTATAATTAATTCGACAAATTATCAAAATTAATGCAGCATCGCTGATAAGACTTGCTTGTATATAACCGTCGCATAATTCGAGCGATTAGTTACACGACGAAGAACTGGCTTGCGAAAATCAAAATCCTCGCACGGACGGATAGATTATTTCGCGATCTGAAAAACATTCCAACGAATAGCTGGATGGATTTAGATTTTATTGCCTCATCGATAATATAATTCGCCACACGAATTACGATCAAGTCGAGTGTGTTATCGAGAATTCTCGTACGTTTCGTGCCGCGTCAATTTGGAGCATAAGTCGTCATAAGCTGCGCGAGGAATCACTGAGAGTAACGATCTTTCAGAAATAGAGCGAATCGAAGGTGCAGCGGACTGTGTCTGAAAACAAACGACCATTGACAGAGCGCTCTCGTAAAAGATAGGAGGGATAAGAAAGCGGAGGTGGTGCTGGATTTTGGGGTCGAACGGATCACTCTAAGAAGCGTTCGTTACCGCCAAAATACGCGAAATAAAGAGAAATACAAACGGAAAGAACGAGAGAAAGAAAGACGAAAGCAGAAACGGAGAAAGGGAAACGGAGCATCGAATTACGAGTACCGAAACTATTTTCGGATCGCCAAATGCAAGCAGAACGATAGACCCACGATGCATCGCGGCATACGGCGTAAATCAAGCAACCGGACGCGCAGAGGACCGATTCCAATGGTAGCAGCCCACGCTCGCATTATATCAGCCGTGCGCCCATGCGGTCAGGGGCATATTTATTACCACGGATCGTCCAGATTCGAACAAATATTGCACAGAGTTGCCCTACCGTCCACACATACGGCCGAAAGTGCATTATTATTAAAATTCACAACGAGAAATCTCACACTGGTGTCGACGAAATCGCTCGTGCCAATATCGCGAATAAGTAGTTCAGTGAACTTACAATATTAATGAGTCTCAAGAATTATATAAAGTTAAAGAGATTCTTATATCTTTAAATAGAAATCGGTAGATATTACTTCAGTATTAAATATTTAGTCATAATTATTAACATATATTTAAATATTGTTAATTAAATTATTTGTCAATAACATTTATCAGATTTTTGAACCTCAAATTTTTAAAAAATGGTTATTTTGAAAAATTGTGTGCATGTACCACATATATCTCCTTTCCTTATACTTTACATATGGTATATGTACGGTACATACGTCTGCAAAAAGATCACATCACTTTTCAATTTTATGGGATCGTATGTTTGTAACTATAATTCCCATCATCTTAAAAGATTAGCGAAATCTGATAAAATCCCGATTGCATAGAAAATAATATTAATGCTGATTCTTGCAAGTATATTACCCATAATTCATTCAAATTATATTTGACAACGTAGAGGATATCTCTCCAACTAAATCGCGGTTGGTGATTAAAACTACCACACAAAATTTAAAGGATGCATTTAAATCATAGCAGGAACGCATATGCTTTCAAGAGAACAAATGTGAAAAGGTGACGATGGTAAATAAGATGCATATAATAAAGGCAATTTATTTCAATAATACATGTATTTCAGCAACTTTTAATTAGAACATTGTATTTATCTAATCACAACAGAAACGCATATGCTTTCAAGAAGACAACTGTGAAAAGATGACGATGGTAAATAAGATGCATATAATAAAAGCAATTTATTTCAATAATACATGTATGACGGCAACTTTTAATTAGAATATTGTATTTATCTGCATTCTTCCTAACTATAAGATATTTGCTAGAAGAAACTTTTTAAAATCGAAAATATAACATGATAAAAATTAATTGTTTTAAATTTAAAATATATTTCAATTATTAAAATAAAACTTATAATAAAAAATCAAGATACAATTTCATTAAAATAATAATTAACTTATAAACACTTTTATTAATTCTTGAATTTTTCACAGAAAATAAGTTGAAATTTACATTTTTACCTTGTTCGAATATATTGGCAGTGAAAAAATAAATAAATATTTGTTATTAATTTTAATTCTAGAAAATTTGTGTTATTTATAAACATCAACATTATATTTCTTAATTTACATTATTTAATTAAATTAAGCTACTTCGATCATATAATTAATAAAGTAAAGCAACGTCAAGCGCAATTTGCAAGTAAATCAATAAAGCGAATTTAATTGAACGTGCACTGGAATATATTAAAAATTATCATACACAAATTAAATAAAATAAATAGTGAAAACGCATATGCTTTCAAGAGGACAACTATAAAAAGGTGACGATGGTAAATAAAATGCATATAATAAAGGCAATTTATTTCATTAATACATGTATATGTCGGCAACTTTTAATTAGAACATTGCATTTATATACATCTTCCTAATTATAAGATATTTGCTAGAAAAAACTTCTTAATATCGAAAATGAAACATGATAAAAATTAATTACGTTAAAAATTTAAAATACATTTAAACTATTACAGTAAAACTAATTCTGATAAATCAAGATAATATTTTATTCAGATAATAATTAAGCATATAAACACTTTTATAATATAAGCATATAACAACTTTTATTAACTGTTAAATTTTTATCAGAAAATAAATTAAAATTTACATTTTCATCTTGTACGAATATACTCTGACAGTTTAGAAATAAAAACAATATTCGTTATTAATTTTAACTCTAAAAAATTTGTATGTTATTTATATATAAACACTAACAATATATTTCTTAATTTACATTATTTAATTAAATTAGACCTTCAATCATATGATCAATGAAGTAAAGCAACGTCAAGAGCAATTTGATAGTACATCAATAATAGCGAATTCAATTGGATGTGCACTAAAATAGTTTAAAAATTATCATACACTTCTAATAAGTTGTGCATGAAAACATATATTATAAACAATATAAATTTTAATATATATTATATACAACATATATTTTAATATATATTATTGATAATATATATACTTTAGAATATATATTATATATAATATATTTTTATTCTATGTATACGTAAATTAAATAGTGAAAAGATAAGTCTAATATTACACAAGTAATAGTACTATTATTTATACAATTAATAAACAATAATATATAATATTAGCTATTAATATTGATATTTTAGATTTATTTTTTTAATTTATTTATGCCATTGTAAAGTGTGCAATAATCTTTCTATGTGCACATTAGTGCATCCAACGGAATTCTCTGTAAGCGAACATTCAAATATCTTAACAATTATAAAACAGACGAAAAAATTTGTGCGTGCACATGAAAATATGTAGAAATAGTCTCTAACAGAATTATTTATTCATTATATATATATATAAATATATATGTGTAAACTATAATACAGAACTTCTCTAACTAAGACAACAAAAATCTAATGCAGAAAAAAAGGAAATAAATACCGCATATATGATCTCGTACCATTCTTTAAACAACGGCTTTATCAGTTGCATCTCCGAAAATAGAATTCAAGTTTTCTTTAAAATTTCTACGTATATTTTCGCTAATTTCGAAATTCTTTCGAGCATACAACATTCCTCAATACGGGCGAAAAACATAATTTCTAATCGCTGTTAGTCACTTCCGAGCAAATATAGCTCATTGTCAGACGAGACCATGATTCATATGTTTTGAAAAATTGTGGTTTTCTTTTAACTCTTGTTATAGAAAATTCTAACGGATCTGTAAATGACGGAAATTGTAATCTTTTCACTGTCAATACCAAAGATCTATAGAGTTTACGTACACCACAGATTTTCAGTACTAACAGTAAATGTTGGAACGTACTATAAATATGAAATTATATGCAAGTTTTAATAAGTACACATCGAAATAACGTAATAAAAATTTTAACATACAAAATGCAATGTTTTTATAATTTTTAAATTATATACGATTTAATCACCAGAGAGCTAAATACTTCGTTTAATATTCATTTGATATTTTTCATTTGAATTCTTTTTCTTCTGCTATTATTTATTCTAAATTATAAAAAGATGTTATTTAGTGTCTTCTCTTTTTGTTTTTAATGTTTGTTTTTAGTGTCTTCAATATTTTCCGCTTCTTCTTAATGTCTTCTTTCTTCTCTTTCACCTTCTTCTCTAGAAATTAAAAATATCTACCATCAGTATATATTTAATTTGGAACAAATCTCTTTTCTCTCGACTTAATTAAATTTTGTGAAGTAACTTAAGTTAAAAATGGAATACCTTCTCGCGATTGATGGTCTTACAAATCTCCATAATTTTACTTCTTTATTTAGCACGATGTCTGCCCATGCTTTTCTGAGTACATTCGTGCACCAACTTATATTGTACTCCTTGTAGAATTCTGTGTTGAACATAGTTTGAGGAGAAAATTTCTGTACACGTTTTGACAAATAACTAAGACAAAGTTGGTTCATTCTCTCAATAATTTCTGGATACAGTAGTTCTATCAATGAGTTTATCGTAAATAATTCTATTTCGAAATCATCATCCTGAACAATATTTTCCGACAAGAAGCGTCGTGTGCAATCGTCACCGAGTAAAAACACTTTGCCAGGTATATTCTCGCCCTCATTATAAACTTTAAGTCTTGCCTTAAACATATTATTAAACCAATATGCAAAACAATTCTTGATATCTAATTCTTCTGATGATCCTTTTTCTTGTAGTTTATGAGCGACGAGGAATTTATTCTCGAAAAATTCTGATACATTTTGTATTTCATTTTCGTTAATTTCATGTTCGTGAAACCAAAAAGGTTGTAAAGAATTACTATTAGTAATATTTATACAAAACATAAAAGTTACAATTTTCTTTTTTAAATTGTTAATGTCAATTAATTGTGTTGCAATTTTTCGTTTGACTGCGTGCGCTAGCATAGTGTTAATAAGAGTATTCCATATAACGTCTATTTGAAATGTAACATAAATGTTATCCATACTAATATTTTTTTCCTCTGATCGCTGCAAGAATTTTTGGAAATTTATTTCAGCGTTGGATGGATTGGGATTATCATCTCTTTTAACAGGATTCTGCAAAATATCACAAGCATTTCCAGATTCTAATTTAATATTATAATCATCTATAAATCCCTGCACAAACTTGCGCATGTCTCCTGGCCCTCCAACATCTCTTGCGATTTCGGATGCTTTCTGACTAAGTAGATCCTTAGTTATTGTTTTCTGCACTTTACACCATTCATACAATTGTTTGTCCAACTCACTGGAACGCTTGCTTGGAATATGTTTTTCCTGAATTTGTTCAGCACCAGATTGATTAACCTCATAATCTTGAACAGGATTAACCTTATCATCTTGAACAGAATTTTGCAAACTCTCATTCGTATCTGGAGACTCAAATATAATGTTGTAACGTCTTACAAATCTCCTCAAAAAATTTGTCAAAGTTTGCCTATTCAAATTATAATCAAGAAATTCTATAATTTCGTTTGCTTCTTGACGAAGTAGCGCACGAGTCATTGTTTTGTTCGATGCTTTCTGCTTATTATACCAATCGTATAATTCAATGTCCAAATCAAAATACATACTATGGCTGCTTCTCGATTTTTTCACATTTATTCCTTGACTGACTAATTGATGAATATGTTTTTTGTCCTTTATTATGTAATAAATGGTTTGTTGTTAATACCAAACTTTCTGGAAATGGAGTCAACCGACATTTTCTCGTCATGTGCCTTCAGAATTGCAAGTTTGGTTTCAATCGTTATTTCCGTCCTTTGCCGTTTGTTAGTTACGCGCTCGGCTGACATGACGAATTTGGTATATAAAATTACTTTTATATATTTGTTACTGACTTCAAAGAAATCCCACAAATCTTTTGATACACGATACACGATTTAGGAACGCTGAGATTATATTCGCAATTAAAAATTGTTGTGGTAATTAGATGCTTTTGAGAAGAATTTTCCGAACTAACACATATTAAAACATTGGTTGAAAGTCATCTGTGAACTCACTAACAGCAATACTTTCACATTCTTGATGTTTATTGTTTATGTATGGTGACACCTACCAGAATATTATTGTCTATGACATTGTCTGTTACAATAATACAATACATAAAATGATAAATAAAATTATCGAATACAGTTGGGCTCACACACACACACACACACACACACACACACATACACGTGTGCGTTGTTATATCTGTAGAAAACTTATAAATTCCATAATTTTTGATACTTTGCAAAATAATTATAAAACTTTACTAGTAACAATAAAGAAAGAAATCTGTATTTTATAAATTGAGTATATTTGCAACACCATTAACAAAATTACAACCAGGCATATGATATCCTTTACGAGAATTTTCAAAAATGTACTTTAATGTTACGAAAATATTTGCGTAACCCATTGTAATTGCAATCAAAAATTACAGAAGAGCAAAAAGAAAAAAACGGTACAGAGAAAATCTGAGAGCGTTACGATGCCTATTGAATGGAGAAAACGGTAGTGAGATTTATTATGATCCTGAATTACCAGAATTAACATTAATAAGGTAGTACATATTTTAATAACAGCATCATAGTTATAAACTGTTTTGCACTTGTATATAATATTATATACTAATTAATTCTAATATAGACAAAATTCTTTTATAAAAAAAATAATAATTACAAATATATAAATACATATTACGTATAAATATAAACATGTAATAATAATTCCGTAACTTTATTTAATTTAAAATATAAAAAATGAAATATTCTTTTTCCTCTCTCCTGCAGATTTTCGTACTCTTCAATGACTTGTCGAACACATCTATCATATCTATAAAATTTCGCCATTTCAAATATATTATAAAAACATTAATATATTTTTTAATACATTTACTGTTTCAGCACTATTTTTAAATATTTTAAACACAACCCTTTGTCCAAATATATTATCTTACACTATTTCCTCGGCGATCGGAGGATATCCATAAAGATATATCAGCTTTATTCTTTTCTCGATTCTTTGCTTTTTTTCTTTTTATTTCTCTTTTTACGCTGTCCACGCATGCGCCCGAAAATGCATTATTACGATTCACGATGCGAAATCATTTTCCGATGTCGACATAATCGTTCGTACCAATATCGCGAATAAATAGTTCGTTGAATTTTCAATATATAAATGAATTTCGAATATTATACAACGTTAAAGAGATTCATATATTCTTAAACAAAAATCGATAGATATTATTTCAGTATAAAATATTTAGTAATAATTATTAACATTTAAATATTGTACTCCAAATTATTTGTCAATAACATTTGTCCGATTTTGTAATCTCATCTTTTGAAAAAAGTTATTTTGAAAAATTGTATGCACCACACGTATCTCCTTTCCTTATACTTTACATACATGTAAAGTACACACGTCCACAATAAGATCGCATCTTTTTTCAATTTTATGGACTCGCACGTTTGTAACTATAATTCCCATCATTATAAGAGAGAGCTTAGCGAAATTTGATAAATTCCCGATTGCAAACAGAATAATATTAATGCTGATTTTTGCAAATATATATGTAGCATATTTTATTCCAATTTTATTTGACAGCGTATAAGATAATATTATACAAGTAATATTATATATTTGTAAATTAATGAACAATATATACATTTTAAGCTATTAATATTGATAATTTTAGATTTTTTTTTTATTTATTATATTATGAAACTTGTGTAAATAAAATACAATAATCTTTCTATGTGCACACTAATGCATCCAACGGAATTCTCTGTAAGCGAACATTCAAATATCTTAACAATTAAAAAACAGACGAAAAAATTTGGGTCCACATAAAAATATGTAGAAATAGTCTCTAACAGAATTATTCATTCATTATATTATATATATATACGTGTATATGTGTAAACTATAATACAGTACTTCTTTAACTAAGACAACAAAAATCTAATGCAGAAATAGAATAATAAATAAATACCGCATATATGATCTCGTACCATTCTTTAAACAACGGCTTTATCAGTTGCATCTCCGAAAATAGAATTCAAGTTTTCTTTAAAATTTCTACGTATATTTCGCTAATTTCGAAATTCTTTCGAGCATACAACATTCCTCAATACGCGCGAAAAACATAATTTCTAATCGCTGTTAGTCACTTCCGAGCAAATATAGCTCATTGTCAGACGAGACCATGATTCATATGTTTTGAAAAATTGTGGTTTCTTTTAACTCTTGTTATAGAAAATTCTAACGGATCTGTAAATGACGGAAATTGTAATCTTTTCACTGTCAATACCAAAGATCTATAGAGTTTACGTACACCACAGATTTTCAGTACTAACAGTAAATGTTGGAACGTACTATAAATATGAAATTATATGCATGTTTTAATAAGTACACATCGGAATAACGTAATAAAAATTTTACATACAAAATGCAATGTTTTATAATTTTTAAATTATATACGATTTAATCACCAGAGAGCTAAATACTTCGTTTAATATTCATTTGATATTTTTTATTTGAATTCTTTTCTTCTGCTATTATTTATTCTAAATTATCAAAAGATGTTATTTAGTGTCTTCTCTTTTGTTTTTAATGTTTTTTTAGTGTCTTCAATATTTTCCGCTTCTTCTTAATGTCTTCTTTCTTCTCTTTCACCTTCTTCTCTAGAAATTAAAAATATCTACCATCAGTATATATTTAATTTGGAACAAATCTCTTTTCTCTCGACTTAATTAAATTTTGTGAAGTAACTTAAGTTAAAAATGGAATACCTTCTCGCGATTGATGGTCTTACAAATCTCCATAATTTTACTTCTTTATTTAGCACGATGTCTGCCCATGCTTTTCTGAGTACATTCGTGCACCAACTTATATTGTACTCCTTGTAGAATTCTGTGTTGAACATAGTTTGAGGAGAAAATTTCTGTACACGTTTTGACAAATAACTAAGACAAAGTTGGTTCATTCTCTCAATAATTTCTGGATACAGTAGTTCTGTCAATGAGTTTATCGTAAATAATTCTATTTCGAAATCATCATCCTGAACAATATTTTCCGACAAGAAGCGTCGTGTGCAATCGTCACCGAGTAAAAACACTTTGCCAGGTATATTTTCGCCCTCATTATAAACTTTAAGTCTTGCCTTAAACATATTATTAAACCAATATGCAAAACAATTCTTGATATCTAATTCTTCTGATGATCCTTTTTCTTGTAGTTTATGAGCGACGAGGAATTTATTCTCGAAAAATTCTGATACATTTTGTATTTCATTTTCGTTAATTTCATGTTCGTGGAACAAAAAAGGTTGTAAAGAATTACTATTAGTAATATTTATACAAAACATAAAAGTTACAATTTTCTTTTTTAAATTGTTAATGTCAATTAATTGTGGTGCAATTTTCGTTTGACTGCGTGCGCTAGCATAGTGTTAATAAGAGTATTCCATATAACGTCTATTTGAAATGTAACATAAATGTTATCCATACTAATATTTTTTTCCTCTGATCGCTGCAAGAATTTTTGGAAATTTATTTCAGCGTTGGATGGATTGGGATCATCATCTCTTTTAACAGGATTCTGCAAAATATCACAAGCATTTCCAGATTCTAATTTAATATTATAATCATCTATAAATCCCTGCACAAACTTGCGCATGTCTCCTGGCCCTCCAACATCTCTTGCGATTTCGGATGCTTTCTGACTAAGTAGATCCTTAGTTATTGTTTTCTGCACTTTACACCATTCATACAATTGTTTGTCCAACTCACTGGAACGCTTGCTTGGAATATGTTTTTCCTGAATTTGTTCAGCACCAGATTGATTAACCTCATAATCTTGAACAGGATTAACCTTATCATCTTGAACAGGATTTTGCAAACTCTCATTCGTATCTGGAGACTCAAATATAATGTTGTAACGTCTTACAAATCTCCTCAATAAATTTGTCAAAGTTTGCCTATTCAAATTATAATCAAGAAATCTATATATAATTTCGTTTGCTTCTTGACGAAGTAGCGCACGAGTAATTGTTTTGTTCGATGCTTTCTGCTTATTATACCAATCGTATAATTTAATGTCCAAATCAAAATACATATAATGGCTGCTTCTCGATTTTTTCACATTTATTCCTTGACTGACTAATTGATGAATATTTTTTTTGTCCTTTATTATGTAATAAATGGTTTTGTTGTTAATACCAAACTTTCTGGAAATGGAGTCAACCGACATTTTCTCGTCATGTGCCTTCAGAATTGCAAGTTTGGTTTCAATCGTTATTTCCGTCCTTTGCCGTTTGTTAGTTACGCGCTCGGCTGACATGACGAATTTGGTATATAAAATTACTTTTATATATTTGTTACTGACTTCAAAGAAATTCCACAAATCTTTTTGATACACGATACACGATTTAGGAACGCTGAGATTATATTCGCAATTAAAAATTGTTGTGGTAATTAGATGCTTTTGAGAAGAATTTTCCGAACTAACACATATTAAAACATTGGTTGAAAGTCATCTGTGAACTCACTAACAGCAATACTTTCACATTCTTGATGTTTATTGTTTATGTATGGTGACACCTACCAGAATATTATTGTCTATGACATTGTCTGTTACAATAATATAATACATAAAATGATAAATAAAATTATCGAATACAGTTGGGCTCACACACACACACACACACACACACACACACACATACACGTGTGCGTTGTTATATCTGTAGAAAACTTATAAATTCCATAATTTTTGATACTTTGCAAAATAATTATAAAACTTTACTAGTAACAATAAAGAAAGAAATCTGTATTTTATAAATTGAGTATATTTGCAACACCATTAACAAAAATACAACCAGGCATATGATATCCTTTACGAGAATTTTCAAAAATGTACTTTAATGTTACGAAAATATTTGCGTAACCCATTGTAATTGCAATCAAAAATTACAGAAGAGCAAAAAGAAAAAAACGGTACAGAGAAAATCTGAGAGCGTTACGATGCCTATTGAATAGAGAAAACGGTAGTGAGATTTATTATGATCCTGAATACCAGAATTAACATTAATAAGGTAGTACATATTTTAATAACAGCATCATAGTTATAAACTGTTTTGCACTTGTATATAATATTATATACTAATTAATTCTAATATAGACAAAATTCTTTTTATATAAAAAATAATAATTACAAATATATAAATACATATTACATATAAATATAAACATGTAATAATAATTCCGTAACTTTATTTAATTTAAAATATAAAAAATAAAATATTCTTTTTCCTCTCTCCTGCAGATTTTTCGTACTCTTCAATGACTTGTCGAACACATCTATCATATCTATAAAATTTCGCCATTTCAAATATATTATAAAAACATTAATATATTTTTTAATACATTTACTGTTTCAGCACTATTTTAAATATTTTAAACACAACCCTTTGTCCAAATATATTATCTTACACTATTTCCTCGGTGATCGGAGGATATCCATAAAGATATATCAGCTTTATTCTTTCTCGATTCTTTGCTTTTTTTCTTTTTATTTCTCTTTTTACGCTGTCCACGCATGCGCCCGAAAATGCATTATTACGATTCACGATGCGAAATCATTTTCCGATGTCGACATAATCGTTCGTACCAATATCGCGAATAAATAGTTCGTTGAATTTTCAATATAAATGAATTTCGAATATTATACAACGTTAAAGAGATTCATATATTCTTAAACAAAAATCGATAGATATTATTTCAGTATAAAATATTTAGTAATAATTATTAACATTTAAATATTGTACTCCAAATTATTTGTCAATAACATTTGTCCGATTTTGTAATCTCATCTTTTGAAAAAAGTTATTTTGAAAAATTGTATGCACCACACGTATCTCCTTTCCTTATACTTTACATACATGTAAAGTACACACGTCCACAATAAGATCGCATCTTTTTTCAATTTTATGGACTCGCTCGTTTGTAACTATAATTCCCATCATTATAAGAGAGAGCTTAGCGAAATTTGATAAATTCCCGATTGCAAACAGAATAATATTAATGCTGATTTTTGCAAATATATATGTAGCATATTTATTCCAATTTTATTTGACAGCGTAGAGGATATCTCTCCAATTAAATCGCGGTTGGTAATGAAAACTATTACAAAAAATTTTTAAGGCGCATTTAAGTCATAACAAAAACGCATATGCTTTCAAGAAGACAACTATGAAAAGGTGACGATGGTAAATAAAATGCATATAAAAAAACAATTATTTCATTAATACATGTATATGTCGGCAACTTTTAATTAGAACATTGCATTTATATTCATTTCCTAACTATAAGATATTTGTTAGAAAAAACTTCTTAAATCGAAAATGTAACATGATAAAAATTAATTACGTTATAAATTTAAAATACATTTAAACTATTAGAGTAGAACTAATTCTGATAATCAAGATAAAATTTTATTCAGATAATAATTAAGCATATAAACACTTTTATTAACTGTTAAATTTTTATCAAAAATTAAGTTAAAGTTTACATTTTCATCTTGTACGAATATTTTCTGACAATTAAGAAATAAAAACAATATTCGTTACTAATTTTAATTCTAAAAAATTTGTATGTTATTTATATATAAACACTTACATTATATTTCTTAATTTACATTATTTAATTAAATTAGACTACTTAAATCATATGATCAATGAAGTAAGGCAACGTCAAGAGCAATTTGCAAGTACATAAATAATGGCGAATTCAATTGGATGTGCACTGGAATACATTAAAAATTATCATACACAACTAATAAGTTGTGCATGATAACATATATTATATTCAATATAAATTTTAATATATATTATATACAATAAATATTTTAATATATATATTGATAATATAAATTATTGATAATATATATATTTTAGAATATATATTATATATAATATATTTTTATTCTATGTATACGTAAATTAAATAATGAAAAGATAAGTGTAATATTATACAAGTAATAGTATTATTATTTGTACAATTAATGAACAATAATATATACTATTAGCTATTAATATTGATATTTAAGATTTATTTTTTTATTTATTTATTTATGCCATTGTGTAAAGTGTGCAATAATCTTTCTATGTGCACACTAATGCATCCAACGGAATTTTCTGTAAGCAAACATTCAAATATCTTAACAATTAAAAACAGACGAAAAAATTTGGGCATCCACATAAAAATATGTAGAAATAGTCTCTAACAGAATTATTCATTCATTATATATATACGTGTATATGTGTAAACCATAATACAGTACTTCTTTAACTAAGACAACAAAAATCTAATGCAGAAATAGAATAATAAATAAATACCGCATATATGATCTCGTACCATTCTTTAAACTACGGCTTTATCAGTTGCATCTCCGAAAATAGAATTCAACTTTTCTTTAAAATTTCTACGTATATTTTCGCTAATTTCGGAATTCTCTCGAGCATACAACATTCCTCAATACGCGCGAAAAACATAATTTCTAATCGCTGTTAGTCACTTCCGAGCAAATATAGCTCATTGTCAGACGAGACATGATTCATATGTTTTGAAAAATTGTGGTTTTCTTTTAACCTTTGTTATAGAAAATTTTAACGGATCTGTAAATGACGGAAATTGTAATCTTTTCACTGTCAGTTACAATGTCAATTACAATGGACTAAATAGTAAAAACACAAAGATAAGTCTAATATAATACAAGTATAGTATCATTATTTGTACAATTAATGAACAATAATACTATTAGCTTTTAATATTAATTATTTTTGATTAATTTTTTTACCTATTTATGCCATTGTAAAGTTTGCAATAATCTTTAATGTGCGCACTAGTGTATCCAACCGAATTAGCTATAAGCAACCTTTCAAATATTTTATCAATTAAAAAACAGACAAAAAAATGTGTGCACGCAAATAAAAATTTATAGAAAAAGTCTTTAATAGAAAAATTCATTCAAAAATATATATATGTGTATGTGTAAACTATAATACAGTACTTCTCACTAATTGTAAGAGAACAATCTAATGCAGAAAAACGATAGGAAATAAATATCTCAAATTTGATTTTGTACCATTCTCTGAACTACGGCTTTATCAATTGCATCTTCGAATAAGGAATTCAAGTTTTCTTTAAAATTTCTACGTATATTTTTGCAAATTTCGAATTCTCTCAAGCATACAACGTTCCTTAATACGCGCGAAAAACACAATATCTAATCGCTGTATGTCGCTTCCGAGTAAATACGGCTCAATCAAGACCATGATTTATATGTTTTGAAAAATTATTGTTTTCTTTTAACCCTGGATATAAAAAATTTTTTTAAATCTGTAAACAACGACGACTGTAATCTTTTCACTGCCAGTACCCTAAATCTATAGTTTACGTACACCACAGATTTTCAGTACTAACTGTGAATATTGAAACGCACCTATAACATAAAATTATATGCATGTTTTAATAAGTGAATATCGGATTAACGTTATAAAAAAATTTTACATACAAAAGTGCGATGTTTTCATAATTTTTAAAATTTATACGATTTTATCACCAGAGAGCTAAATACTTCGTTTGATAGTTATTTGATATTTTTATTTGAATTCTTCTTCTGTACTATTAATTATTTATTCTAAATTACCAAAAAATGTTATTTAACGTCTTCTTTTTTTGTTTTCTTGTTTGTTTTTAGTGTCTTCAATATTTCCCTTCTTCTTAATGTTCTTCTCTTGCGCCTTCTTCTCTAGAAACTAAAAATATCTACTATCAGTATATTTAATCTGGAACGAATCTCTTTTCTCTCGACTTAATAAAATTTTGTGAAGTAATTTAAGGTAAAAATGGAATACCTTCTCGTGGTTGACGGTCTTGTTTTACAAATCTCCATAATTTTACTTTTTCATTTGGCGCGATGTCTTCCCATGCTTTTCTGATTACAATCGTGCACCAACTTATATTGTACTCCTTGTAGAATTCTGTGTTGAACATAGTTTTAGAAGAAAATTTCTGTACACGTTTTAACAAATAACTAAGACAAAGTTGGTTCATTCTCTCAATAATTTCTGGATACAGTAGTTCTGTCAATGAGTTTATCGTAAATAATTCTATTTCGAAATCATCATCCTGAACAATATTTTCCGACAAGAAGCGTCGTGTGCAATCGTCACCGAGTAAAAACACTTTGCCAGGTATATTCTCGTTCTCATTATGAACTTTAACTCTTGCCTTAAACGCATTATTAAACCAATATGCAAAACGATCCTTGATATCTAATTCTTCTGATGATCCTTTTTCTTGTAGTTTATGAGCGACAAAGAATTTATCCTTGAAAAATTCTGATACATTTTGTATTTCATTTTCGTTAATTTCATGTTCGTAGAACAAAAAGGTTCTAAAGAATTACTATTAGTAATATTTATACAAAACATAAAAGTTACAATTTTCTTTTTAAATTGTTAATGTCAATTAATTGTGGTGCAATTTTTGTTTTTTTGCGTGTGCTAGCAAAGTTTTAATAAGAGTATTCCATATAACGTCTATTTGAAATGTAACATAAATGTTATCCATACTAATATTTTTTTCCTCTGATCGCTGCAAGAATTTTTGGAAATTTATTTCAGTGTCGGATGGATTGGGATCATCATCTCTTTCAACAGGATTCTGCAAAATATCACCCGCATTTCCAGATTCGAATTCAATTTATTATCATCTATAAATCCCTGCACAAACTTGCGCATGTCTCCTGGCCCTCCAACATCTCTTGCGATTTCGGATGCTTTCTGACTAAGTAGATCCTTAGTAATTGTTTTCTGCACTTTATACCATTCAGACAATTGTTTGTACAACTCACTGCAACGCTTGCCTGGAATATGTTTTTCCTGAATTTGTTCAGCACCAGATTGATTAACCATATCATCTTGAACAGGATTTTGCATACTCTTACTCGTATCTGAAGACTCAAATATAATGTTGTAACGTTTTATAAATTTCGTCAAAAATTACTCAAACCTTTCCTATTCAAATAATAATCAAGAGATTCTCTAATTCTGTTTGCTTCTTGACGGAATAGCACATAAGGAATTGTTTTGTTCGATGCTTTCTGCTTATTATACCAATCGTATAATTTAATGTCCAAATCATAATATAAAATAGATCGGCTTCTCGATTTTTTCACATTTATTCCTTGACTGACTAATTGATGAATATGTTCTTTGTTCTTTATTATGTAATAAATGGTTTCTTGTTAATACCAAACTTTCTGGAAATGGAGTCAATCGACATTTTCTCGTCATGTGCCTTCAGAATTGCAAGTTTGGTTTCAATCGTTATTGCCGTCATTTGCCGTTTGTTAGTTACGCGCTCGGCTGACATGACGAATTTGGTATATAAAATTACTTTTATATATTTGTTACTGACTTCAGAGAAATCCCACAAATCTTTTTGATACACGATACACGATTTAGGAACGCTGAGATTATATTCGCAATTAAAAATTGTTGTGGTAATTAGATGCTTTTGAGAAGAATTTTCCGAACTAACACATATTAAAACATTGGTTGAAAGTCATCTGTGAACTCACTAACAGCAATACTTTCACATTCTCGATGTTTATTGTTTATGTATGGTGACACCTACCAGAATATTATTGTCTATGACATTGTCTGTTACAATAATATAATACATAAAATGATAAATAAAATTATCGAATACAGTTGGGCTCACACACACACACACATACACGTGTGCGCACGCGTGATTAGATCTGTGGAAAACTTATAAATTCCTTAATTTTTGATATTTTGCAAAATAATTATAAAACTTTACTAGTGACAATAAAGAAAGAAATCTATATTTTATAAATTGAGTATATTTACAACACCATTAGCAAAAATAAAACCAGGCACATGATATCCTTTACAAGAATTTTCAAATATTTATTTTAATGTCACGAAAATATTCGCGTTACTCATTGTAATTGCAATCAAAAATTACAGAAGAGCAAAAAAAAAACGGTACAGAGAAAACATGGCAGCGTTACGTTGCCTATTGAATGGAAAAACGAGAGAAAACGTTAGAGAGAAAATTAAATCCTGAATTAGTATATATTTTAATAACAGCATCATAGTTATAAACTGTTTTGCACTTGTATATAATATTTATATACTAATTAATTCTAATATAAACAAAATTCTTTCTATATAAAAAATAATAATTACAAATATATAAATACATATTACATATAAATATAAACATTGTAATAATGATTCCGTAATTTTATTTAATTTAAAATATAAAAAATAAAAATATTCTTCCTCTCTCCTGCAGATTTTTCGTACTCTTCAATGACTTGTCGAACACATCTAACATATCTATAAAATTTCGCCATTTCAAATATATTATAAAAACATTAATATATTTTTTAATACATTTACTGTTTCAGCACTATATTTTAAATATTTTAAACACAACCCTTTGTCCAAATATATTATCTTACACTATTTTCTCGGTGATCGGAGGATATCCATAAAGATATATCAGCTTTATTCTTTCCTCGATTCTTTGCTTTTTTTCTTTTTATTTCTTTTTTTACGCTGTCCACGCATGCGCCCGAAAATGCATTATTACGATTCACGATGCGAAATCATTTTCCGGTGTCGACATAATCGTTCGTACCAATATCGCGAATAAATAGTTCGTTGAACTTTCAATATAAATGAGTTTCAAAAATTATACAACGTTAAAGAGATTCTTATATTTTTAAATAGAAATCGATAGATAGTACTTCAGTATAAAATATTTATCATATAATTATCAACATACTTTTAAGTATTGTTTATTAAATTATTTGCCAATGATTTTTATCTATTTTTTTAAACCCTCAATTTTTCAAAAGCAAGTTATTTTAACAAATCTACAGAAAGTTACACTTTATTTTTAAAAATATATTATAATCGTTCTGTACTATATTATTATTAAAAATTATTACATAACATTCCTAGTGCAAGTATTAGATTATTATAAAATTATTATAGAAACTTTGGATAACGTTTTAGATATGAGATTTTAATGTCCCGTTAAGTTAAGAACTTGTTGCAGACATCTTTGTCATGCTAAACGTGTTAATGTTACCTTTTATTCTCATTTACGGGTGAAGTATAGGCCTCTCGACGACGTCAAGATGATGCGGACGCCAAGCAAGTGTTCTTGTAAACGTATGCAATACGGACGACGTTTACGACAAGGCGCCAAGTGCTTATTCTTATCTGAACCCGACCCGCTTCCTCAAGACTGTACGGAGACATCATATTACAGAAGAGACGCCAAATAACATTGTAACAGCTTAATATGCTTCTATTTTGCGCTGCTCGTCTTTCGAATCGCTATAGTGACACGGGCCTCGCCATAGATTACTCTTTTTGCGACGCGGAAAATTACTTCCTCTCTACATTTAATACTGATTAATTATAATAATTAATTAACGACAAATTTTGGACTTTGTAGCAGTTTCATATTAGTATATGTTTGTATATACATGTTGTATATGTATATATAACATATAATCTAAATTAATAAAAAATATCAAACAATTTTATTTCACAGCAGTCTTACACTCGCTACGTAATGTTTATTTTATTCATATTACGTAATAACAAATTTCTATATGTATATAAGCAAGTACGTTATTATTAAAATTTTGCTAAAAACGCGCGAGACTCCAGCAGCTCTAAAGTTGCGGTAAAAATATTTCTGCGGTTTTATTCTTGGCAAACCAGTAATCTTCGCGAGCGGCGACGCCCTACGACGTCGCGCGCAGCCCGCATCATTGCATTGATAATAACGCACGCACATGTGTGTATGGTGTGTCTGCGTAAGATAACGCGCCGCGTGTATGGCCGCGGGACAGGAGGAAGTTGGGATTTGTGATACCAAGAAGCCGTGATTGCGCGGCTCTCGCGCTGCCACGTTCATTACCGATCGCACCATTAATTCGAAGCGGGCTGATGGCTCGCAGGCCAGTAAATATCTGGAACGATAACATCTGCGACTTAACATTCGTTCCACGGAATGTCTGCCGAGTTTTCATACCACGGGCTACGTGCCCTCTTTAGCAATCAACAACACCTTCGTCCGTGAGACATTGGCAGCTAGTTTCTCATCGACTTTTCACGTCAAATTAATAAGTAAAATTCTACTCATTCGACAATTCACGTTTACATCGTTATTTGAAAAAATCACGAAAGCAATTTAAATTACGTTAATTGCTGTTAACACATCTAAAATAGCACAAATCGAAAAAATAATAATAGTCTATATATAAAGTAGTTGTAAATATTAATTCGAAAAACAGATATATTTCAACGAGATATCTTAATGTCTTTTCGCGACCTGCTTGTGAGAAAATAATCGTGATTGTAAAACGCGTTTCAGTTCTTAGATTGTGCCAGTAATTAGATACCTGTGGAAAGAACGTCATCTAACTGGTTCACCCAATCGCTGCGAGAGTTCATACGAGAGCGGTTTTGCACTCCTATACAGAATAAGCGATTGGCTTACCGGATTGAGAAAGCGATAGCCTTGTTCTTACCACGTATATCTTCTTTCTTTGTATTTACATGTAAAGTACGTCCACAATAAAAATCGCATCCTTCTTCGATTTTATGAGCTCGCACGTTTGTACCTATAATTCTCATCGTCTTACAAAAGATCTTAGCGAAATCTGATACAATCCCGATTGTAAACGAAATAATATTAATACTGATTTTTGCAAGTACGCATATACCGCATATTGCAATCAAATTTTATTTGACAGCATATAAAGACTATCACTCCAAATTGAATCTCGATTGGTGATCAACACTACAAAGAATTTAAAGGGCGCATTCAAATTATGGCAGAAAACAGTCAATGCATGAGCTTTCGAGAGAACAACTGTGACGATAAATAGATATAATAGAGTAAAACTAATTATGATAAATCAAGATAAAATTTTATTCAGATAATAATTAAGCATATAAACACTTTTATTAACTGTTAAATTTTTATCAAAAAATAAATTAAAATTTACATTTCATCTTGTACGAATATATTCTGACAGTTAAGAAATAAAAACAATATTCGTTACTAATTTTAATTCTAAAAATTTGTATGTTATTTATATAAACACTTACATTATTTTCTTAATTTACATTATTTAATTAAATTAGACCACTTCAATCATATGATCAATGAAGCAAAGCAACGTCAAGAGCAATTTGCAAGTACATCAATAATGGCGAATTCAATTGCATGTGCACTGGAACACATTAAAAATTATCATACACAACTAATAAGTTGTACATGATAACATATATTATATTCAATATAAATTTTAATATATATTATATACAATAAATATTTAATATTATTATGATAATATAAATATTGATAATATATATATTTTAGAATATATATATAATATATAATATATTTTTATTCTATGTATACGTAAATTAAAAATGAAAAGATAAGTGTAATATTATACAAGTAATAGTATTATTATTTGTACAATTAATGAACAATAATATATACTATTAGCTATTAATATTGATATTTTAGTTTTTTTTTTTAATTATTTATTTATGCCATTGTGTAAAGTGTGCAATAATCTTTCTATGTGCACACTAATGCATCCAACGGAATTCTCTGTAAGCGAACATTCAAATATCTTAACAATTAAAAAACAGACGAAAAAATTTGGGCATCCACATAAAAATATGTAGAAATAGTCTCTAACAGAATTATTCATTCATTATATATATATATATATATATATACGTGTATATGTGTAAACTATAATACAGTACTTCTTTAAACTAAGACAACAAAAATCTAATGCAGAAATAGAATAATAAATAAATACCGCATATATGATCTCGTACCATTCTTTAAACTACGGCTTTATCAGTTGCATCTCCGAAAATAGAATTCAAGTTTTCTTTAAAATTTCTACGTATATTTTCGCTAATTTCGGAATTCTCTCGAGCATACAACATTCCTCAATACGGACGAAAAACATAATTTCTAATCGCTGTTAGTCACTTCCAAGCAAATATAGCTCATTGTCAGACGAGACCATGATTTATATGTTTTGAAAAATTGTGGTTTTCTTTTAACCCTGTTATAGAAAATTTAACGGATCTGTAAATGACGGAAATTATAATCTTTTCACTGTCAGTACCAAAGATCTATAGTTTACGTACACCACAGATTTTCAGTACTAACAGTAAATGTTGGAACGTACTATAAATATGAAATTATATGCATGTTTTAATAATACACATCGAAATAACGCAATAAAAATTTACATACAAAATGCATGTTTTTATAATTTT